AAAGTACAAAGTTGAATACTTTGTACAAATTTTTAATCCGAGAGGTGCTTTGGGATACTTGTTAGTTTTATTGCTTCGACAATCACAAAAAAATGATGATTCCATCAGAAATTTCAACATCGCTGACAATTCACCCATTTTTAATCAACCACACGCCCTTTGTATGCCGTGGAGCTTTGAGTGTTGCTGCTCGTAGGAACAAAGCCATCCATCGAGCGCTACGACATCGCTGCCACTGATGATGATGATGATGTGCTCCACGTTGGCGCGCATTATAACTTAACGTAATTAAAATGCGAGTTAACCGAGAGCCGCGCGTCGAGTGCGCACATTAATACCGGATGTTGGCGCCGGAGTCGATCATTGAATTCGGTTGGGATTCTCGACGCACCTTGTGTTCATCTGCTTCTGGGCACGAAGCTTTCGCGTCTCGGCCGGAATGAATATGTAACGCGCATTGCGCCCTCGAAACCGAACCAAAAACCCCAGGCAAACAAGCTCCACCAACTTGTGTATGGAGAGAGTACTTGCGCGCAGTGTAAGTACGTCAAACGTGTGCGATATTCGCTCGAAATGTAAAACCGGAAGACATCGATTATGCTACTTGTTATAGAATCTACTGATACAATGAGAAAACGGAATATTGCTTTACGGTACAAAACCATGCATTGCGGTTGTATCTATTTTTCGCTAGGTTGCTAAAGTGCATATTTTTCAATGGTTTTTCTACGGGCGCTTATAAGCCACATTTGAAATTCATAGGAAACAATAGGAAGCTCTTGAGTTGGATTTTATAGTCCTACTGATTTTGTAAAAATTGGTCTACTCAGTCATAAGATACAAGGTGTTTTTTATTTCATGAGTTTGAAATTCTATAAAAATACAAATAGTTTGGGTATGTTTTTAGGATGGTTATAATATATTCAGAAGACTAAAATGTATTGCATTCGAAAGGGAATCTCTTTCACTATAAAATATTGAAAACTGTCTTAAATTTAGATAATTAATTTGGAAGATACAGAGTGTTTTTCACCACGCGTTTTGTGCATTGCAAAAAGTAACAAATTTTCAAATTTCTACTTCACTTTATAATTAATACTAGCTTTAACTCGCGGCTTTGCTCGCGAATATCTAAAATAATGAAGTTGCTTCCGTACGCGTCTGTAGTCACAGAAGAAGTAACAATGAAGTAGAATGGCGGGAAGTTTAAAATGGCTGAAAGTATAGTCTATGGAAGTATAGTGTACAGTCTCCATAGTGTAGTCAATTGGATTTGATGTTGACGTAGCTGTCGGTAATACAGTGTGATAATACAGTGTGATGGTACTATAGTACTTAGGTTTGAGCTTCATTGCTGGAATGCTAGATGGCGTTAAAGTAGTCAAATAGCCAGATGCAGAGGTATTATTTGCTAAACAATTTCTTTATTTTATTTCTAAAATTTTTTTTTATTACATAAAAAGTAGCCTATAACCATTCGGGGACCACTAAGAATATGTGTACAAATTTTCATGATGATCGGTTAAGTAGTTTTTGCGTGAAAGTGTAACAAACATCAGGATTTTCGCATTTTTAATATTAGTAGGGATTAATTTTAAAAGTTATGATTGCGCAATTAGATCATATTTATATATTTAAAACTTACGTGCATGTGAAAGTTAGTTACCTGACTAATGAATCCGAATGAAAATGAGTTTCAAGAAGTAGATCTACCCGCGGCATGAATGAGTGTGATGTTGGGACACTCTTGCGACACTAACGTGTATCGTTATGCGATAATACGCTATAATCGTGTAGGCTGGAGAGTTTTCACATTTCGTCGCCCACACATCAACTCACGCCACTCGCAAACGAAAAGTATATATTTCCAACGAACCGGTTCGATTTTTGATCCCACTCGATGCAATGACCTACGCATTGTGCGCGCGTGTCGCAGTCCACACGCGATGCAAGCAGCAAGAAGATGTCTTCCATTCAACAAGCGACACGTTCAGGTTTAAGTACATATACATATGTGCGTGTTTTGTGCGCTTCGTGTTTGCTTTCCAATGTGCGAACTGCGCGATCGAACATCGCGCGCGCGTTTAACACCTACGCCGACCTGCGTACGCTTTACAAATTGTAAACCGCGCTGTACGTGGGCATGGGACGCGAAAGGACAAAAAAAAAGGCGTCGCGCGACTAACCAACCATTCATTCAGGAACGTGGATTCGAATGAATGAATCGATTCGTGCCATTGATTCTCAACTTTCAACTCTGCTGTCCGTCGTTAACGGCGATTGTTTGTTCAAAGTCAAACGATTCCAACGCACAATATACCAATGCGTAATGAACGTATTCATGTACGTACAGGTTGATTGTTGTTTATTATTATCAGAATCAACCCACAGCTGGTGTTCTGCTAGCTTTTGTACAAATTGTAGGAAAAACAAAGTTGGTTGCGTTTTAATTAAAATTTCCTGAGAGTTTTAAGGCTGCCAACTTCTTGTTTGGCTTTAATTAATATTATATTATCTGCACAGCATATAGTTCATTATCATTTCCAGAATATGCACTACACGTAATTCTGCAAGTTTTCATCTAATTAAAAATTATTCCGGGATGCTTTATAGTCTGATACAATGCAAAAATATAACAAACAAAAAAGTGCGAAGTTAAATTAATCATTATTTGCTCAAAATATAAGGGAGTTGAGTTTTTTTTTTGAAATTATGATTACGTTTAATTCCTCGGAGATTTGAAGATAATACACGTCAATGAGACATTTAAAAAGCGAAACACTTAACGCCCAGTCGGCGCCAAGAAGACAAAGTTAAATTTCAGTCAATATCATCCTTCTTGGCGCGTCACGATGCCAAGACGTCTTCTTAAGTAAAGCGCGAGTAAAACAAGCAGATATTTGCTCCCCGATGGCGACGCCTCGCACGCGTAAAGAGTCCTATCTGTGTACTTAAAGCCACCCTCTAGCGGCGCGTGCGAAAGAAGGACGCGAAGAAGACGAAGAGATAAATGACTATGAGATTCGCGCTCGTCTCGTTAGGTATGTCTGCGCTGGGGGTGGTGTGGTGTTGGTGGCGGCGGCGGCGAAAAACGAACAAACGCGTATGGCAAACGAGCGTGCAAATAGACGCGGTTTGCATCCGCCTAAATTAAACGCTCGCCGCGCCGCCCGATGCGAAATGTGAGTGAAACTGTGTCTTCGCGCAACGTGCGACGAAATACTTATTGCGCTCGTTTAAATAGATCGCCGTATAATGAGAGCAAACTAACCGTGGGATGACGGCAATGATGCTAAGACGCCGCTGCTGTTACCAGGGGATTCTCCCTTTGCGAAGGGACGGAATCATTAGAAGCGTTCGTGTGGTTAGACTTTTCTACAGTCGGATTGCAATCAATGTTTTTCTTTCCTAAACGAATCAGATTATCAATTTTTTTAGATTTTAACTAAAAAGTTTTTTTTCAATTGAAGTGTTTGGATACGTGAGTAGATTGATTATGATTATTAAATTTCCGATTAGTTGATTTTATGATGAATTACGCTGCTTTAAAATTGCAAACTAATTATCAATTAGTGATATTATCTAAACATGCAACACGATTCAAAGGATACACTAATCTACTCGTATTAGCGATTGATGGGCTTATTAAATTTAATAATTGGCAAAATACCAGATGATAGTAAAGTGCAATTTAATTATTAAATAAATTCAGGTTGATAATTAAAATAATAAAATTGTCATAAAGGATAAAAGCCTGAAATAACATTTTATCGCACCGCTGCGCTTATAGGACGTTTAACGATTTTTTGTGCATCCATTCCGTGCGCATTTTTAAATCCTGGGAATCCACACGGTGTGTCACCTGTTTAAGCAAACCGAGCTCGAAGGATGCGCTTTGAAAAACTCATTTCCGTGATTAAATTAAAATTCATCACTATATCCATCCGGGCGTGATATCAACGCTAACAAAGAATCTAAATTTAATTAAGCAAACTATGCGGTGATTCTAGTGCTTTGTGTTGGAATTATCTGTGGTGGTGTAATCCACGGGTGGTTCTATGGGCAGATATGGTTAGTTATCAGTCACGAAGGAGCATTTAACACGCGTTAAACAAGCAAAAGTACTCTCGATGTCGCACGAGGTGCGTGGTTGGGTCGAACGCGAAAAAAGGTTTTTGTAATCTGAAAAAGTTTGCGCGGCCGACAAAAAAAAAATGAAACGCCACGCCGGAAAACAGGAAGAAAACCGGCGAGTCGTAAAATTGTCCTCGCCGGCGCGCGCGTTGCGTCATTGCGTGCTCTCACGGAGAAATAATAAAAAAATGAATGCAGGAACGCACATTACGAAAACAAAAATAAAATTGTGAAAACAAAAAACGTGTTTTTCATCCGGCCGATGTCCGTTCGCCACGGACGAGGAGAGGACCTGAAGGACTAAAAAAGCTCATTTTGAAGTTTCATTGCTGGCTCGATAAATATTATTCTTTATTTTAAGCACAAGTGAATCGTGGATTTACAACGGAAAGCTTGTTTGTTTTACTTGTATAAACTTTTCTGTATTTGGTTTCAAAGCTCGCAATGAGTGGGCAACCTTCATTTTAGATTTGTGTTTTTAAAGTGTTAATTTAAGTAATATTACGTTAATTGCAAAAAGAATAAACTTTATCGCAGTACCTAAAGTTAAAATGTAATTTATTATAAATTTAGCTATATTATCTTTTCTTATAACTCATATATTTTCTATTTAAGTGCAATATTTTTCTGGCCGTTTGTTTTTTCCTGATTTTTTGCACATGTTTGTTTCCTCTGCAGAACAAAAGTACATATTTGCAATGAACCAACCTCTAGCTCTACCAAGAGTTGAGTTCATGCATGATTGCCTCCCTATCTTTAAACATCTTTTATTTTCGTTTTATTTCCCTTAAGTGCTCAACAAAGAAACTCTAAATTATTAAAAAATTGCCTTTTATCTAAATTAAATTCGTTTTTGTTTGTTTCAGATGGACTGGTTTAAACGTCGAACGTAAAATGTGAAATCATGACTAGGAGGCATCGAGGAAACCCTTCAGTATTTGCGCAATCGCATTCTCGAACTTGTGACAGTTTGCACGCGACATAAAGGTATTTATTCCAAACGCCTGTATTATGCTCTTAACTGAATTGAATCGTGTCGAATCATGCACAACCGATGGTTGCTTGTAATTCCAGTTAGTAGTGCTCTAAGTAGGTGCGTGGGAAATGGTCAATTTGCAAATTGTCCGTGTGAATGGTGGCGTAATGACGCACACGGATTACAAACCGCACATACCGCTGATCTCAAATAGTTTAATCATTCTGTCTGGGATGAGATGGATTCTCAGGCGGCGATTTTCCGCTCGACTGGTTGCCAACGTCTTTCTAGATAAAATTAGGACAAAAATATCACGAAACAATTAATCTTGCAAGTTCTGACGCTCTGACAAGTTCGGAAAGTTTAATATAACAACGGTTTCCTAAAACGAAAGGGCTGAAATCGTTGAAACTCGTCGGACATCGCGCCAGGATGAATATCTGCAAAGTTTCAAAACGTTGCGCGTTAATATTTCCTACTTCCGGCGCGATGATGATAATTTCTCTTCCTTCCACGTGCCTTCTGGTGCTTCCATTTTGCGCTGATCGTAAAATCATCTAGTTGGTAAGCTGGCGACACTTGTCGTTCGGTTTCTAATCCTCGTTTGGTGAAGCTGTAGATACCTAAAATTACAAAATAGAAAAAATCTCAATTGGACGCCGAGTGTGTGAGACGTGTACGGGAAAGTGGAAGACGACTAGAAACCTAATTTATTTTCTGTTTGTTTTTCTCTCGTTTCGCCACAAATTCGGGCCAGCTCACGCGCGAGCGGGCGTTTACTGTTTGGGTGTTGGTTTGTAGGTACTTCGGGGTCGCCAGCGCCAGCCGCCCCTTTTCGACCACTGAGATACGTTTCACGCAAGGCGGGCGGAGGATGTGTTTGGGTTGCGAGTAAATTATTAGACGATCCGGCGTCTCTTTTAGTTATTCTCGTGGCGGGCGGTTAATGGACCGGTATCTCTGGTTTATTGACCGACGGCGGCGGCGGTGGCGGCGGCGGCGGCGGCGGTGGTAACAAGCGCGCACGATAAAACCGATTCGATTGTCCTCATCGTGTGCAGAAGCTTGCCCTGAATAAACATTCTTAGTGACTGGGGTACTCATTGCAAATTGTATCGAGTGAAATGAAGAAAATTAAATTTACACACAAAAAATACAAATTGTAGTTTGTATTTTCGGAGCTACTCGAATATAGTTTTTTTTTTATTTGGAAATATGTTTCCATCGTAACGCCGTGCATATTTGGTTGAATATTGAAACCGAAATTTATCAAATGTCACAAAGGATTTTTTTGTAAAAATTGTGCACGTTTTACCATTGTTTTATTTCATCTCCTGACAAGAAAATAAAATAGGAATAAAATATCGTTAATAATTGAAATGAAAAACTTTTAAAATATTAAATCGCTTATAATTTTAAACATTTATGTTGTACATCTGCGTCTTACACATTGTGTCAAAGTTTAAATGTGCAAACCGAATTGACATGACGTGTTCACTGACAGAAAAAATTAAAACAGTCCGGTATGTAATTGAAAATGATTGGAATTGTCGAACGTACTGCAGTTTTTCCCGAAAAATGAAAAAAATGTGTGGGTTATGTTGTATGCATTAATATAACATTTCTGTGTTTAAGCACTCTTACTGTTTTAGCATCCCAAAATGTTTAAATACGCTGACAGAAACAGCAGTAACAACCAACATTGTTGACATTTCTTGTTCGTTCCTTGCGTGTAATAATTGAAACAGCGCCGTGCCGTCATAATTGAAACTCTAATGTACTATTTGGTCCTGTATTCGGATGTTTTGTGTACGCTTTCTGCGCGCCCGTTTGCATAAATACATTGCACGCTTTTAGCACGACGCAGGAGAGAAGAGAATGCCTTTCTCCTGGATATTTGTTGTTTGTTTCTCTATGCGTTGCTAGTTTTCCGCGTCACGCTTGTGTTTGTGTATGCCGAAGGATAATACTCCACGCTTAGCCGCTGTATGTTGTTGGAGATGCCGGGGGCGGTGGCGGCGGTGTTGCTTGGCAGTTTGCATGGCAAGTCATCGCAATACGGCACATCACAGCCGCGTGTTTTTGACATTTTTTGCATCTTAAATTTGGGTAAATTTGCTTTTTCTTATTTTGTGTTCAGCTGTAATCTGCAACATTGGGAGATTGGCTAGCGCTAGGCATTTTCGCGTTTGCACAAATTGACAAATTGACAAAGGGAATGAGTTATCTCTGTTGCCAGAAAAGGGGTGCGGACCTAGCAGAGGCGAGGAAAGCGAGGTCGTCCTTTTGGGCTCTATGAAACGGCATTAATATTCATAGGCATCCGGAAGCATTACGAATCAACGCCGTCAGTCCAAAGTCGTCATCACTGTCATACCGTTTTGCCAGCTTGTCGAATCGCTAATTACCACACAAATCAAACATCAAAACTTTTATTTAAATTCCACGTTTGAAAACACCGTTTTCTGTACAATTTGGTGGCTTTGAAAACAATGTTTTTCACTTAAGTGTGTAGAAAATACATAACCTTAAAAATTCACATAGCGACACAGCTTGAATCAGCAAGATGCATCATCACCTCGAAATTTGTTTTTTTTCCTTTTGTTTTAACCAGAAATTAAATTACATTCGCGAAAATTATAACATTTTGCACGTAAATGTAATTCAGTATTGTCCAATCAAATTATGCAATGTATTATTTAGACTATTCAACACTGACCTACTTCTCGCGTTCAGTTTTTGTACAGCAAGTAAATTTATTTAAATAAATTAGATTTACTACAAATGAAAATTTGATTTATATTTTTTATATTAATGAACAAATTAAACGCACGCTTATTGCAGGCATATAATCATTAACGTCACGTCGGACACGATTTGATTACGCGCCGTGTTTCTGCATTATTAAATGATTAATATTAATGCGATGCGATAATAATTAACCATCGGGACTGTCGCTGGTGGTTTGCGATCGGAACCACTGCCGTCGTTACCGCCGCAGTCGCATTAACGTCAATATTAATATCAACATCAATAGGGCGCATGTTGCTGCACACGGTGGTGTGTGCTTCAGGATGATGACGATGATGATTACGGTTGATAACGCCCTTCACTCGACCCGCCGCCGCGCGACAAGAGTAATGAGCGCCGATTACACGATGCCATAGACGCATGATTATCAATAACATAATAATTAATAATTTATCCCCCACAAATTGTATAGGATGCACAGATGATAAATTTCGGTAATTTCAAAGTGTATTTTTGCCTTTCACGTGTTGCGCTTGATTGGAAGCGAGTTTAATTTGATTACGTCGTTTGGAATGCAAATTTTTGTTATTTTTGCGACTTTGGACGAGAGCGGATCAATCAATATTCATTAACATTTTAATAACAAAGTGTAACAACTACCCCGATTGCATACTAATTGACAATGTCCCTATTGAGCGGACTGACACGTGAATGACATTTTTTATAAGGTTGTTCGGTGCTGAAGCAGGATTTAAAGCGTAATGAACTTTATTGTTGCATAAATACGTGAAATTTGCAATATCGCGTCGACAAGTGGTTTTTCGCATCCGGCACGAGTGCTCCTCGTTTAATTTGGTCGTTTATTTGTCATCCGATTAGACTACGCCTGTAGATGCGGACGATAGTAAAAAGGATTACTGTCGGCAATTATTTCATAATCGCTTATTTCGTCCGCCGTCGCGAAAACTCGGCCAACTTTTCTCTTGCTCGCGGGCGCCGCACTTAATTTGCTTAATATAATGCCCGAAATTTTGCTCCGCATTCATCGCTCTACATCGCATCCTAATTTCACTTTATTCCGCGCGCCCAGTAACTCGTCATGCGCAAATTTATCAATTAAGCTTAACTTCGGGGCTTGCAGTTGGTTCTCCTTCGTTTGCGTCGAGAACTAAGCAAAATACGAGAAATGCGCAACAAACCCAAGTACAACACAACACATGACTGCCACATTGCATTGATAACTTTCTGTTGAAACTTTAACAGCCTCATTTTCTATCAAATTAAATTATTTTCAAAACCATATCGTTAATGATTGTTTTATTTGGTTGCTAGGGAATAATTTATGAAAATGAAATTAACATCATGGGGTCGGAAAGAAATTATGTTTTTATTAATCTTGTTTCCGGTGAAATATGAAGGCGAACGTGATGTTTGCTTTCCTGAGACATTCGCGTTATGCGCGCCAGTAAGGCGCCACTGTCACTGTCACTTTACTTATACCACCAAAGCTGCAGATTGCCCCGAATGAAGGGTGAATTGAATTCAAATTCCCTTGTTCCACTTTCCGATGTTATTTCACATCCAGCGTGGCGCGAATATTTTCCGATAAAACTTGCGAAGCTTTTAAAAACAGCACAACGTACGGCACTGCAGGACTACCGCAGTGAAATTTAATGTTAAGTACATTAATTAAATTTAATGGGGCTGTTTATGAGTCCCCGTGGACATTGCAGCAGCAATGTAGCGCACCACCGTGCAGATATACGCAACGCACGTTGATTATTTATTAATAAATAAATAATCGCGTTAATGATTTCGACTAATGATTTATACGGCGAGTGCGTGCGCGCGTAAGTGAGCTTTAATAAAAGTTAATAAACGTTTAATGACTTTTTCGGGCGTGCGCGGCACGCAGCAGCTGCGGTCCTGCGGTCGCCGGCAAGGGTGAAAACTCCCTCGGACGGCCGGACGCAATAAAAAGTCCTCGAAATAATTTATAACTTCAGTATTTTTTTATATGCCATGTGAGCCACTTTGAGTAGGCATTTATTGGATGCCTATTTCTTGTTACTTCCGCCACCGAAACTAGATTTAGGTTTTAGTTAAAAGCAGAATGAATGACAGAATGCAGATTTTTTTCATATACAAATAAAGAAGTTAAAAAGTTCTCGGAATAACCAAGCTAAATTGTATTACAGGGCCTACCGAGTTTATTTTTCTTTCATCATCGGTTTTGTTTATTTATTGTCTTTGCACACGG